TTGATTAGAAAAGCTTTACATAACCAAATCAGCCTTCCATTGATTATTTGACTGAAATGGAAATTTTCCTTTATGAGAGTTGAAGGTTTTTATGTCAGATTCTGGGAGGTCATTGCACAACCAGTGTTAAATACATAAATGTTGAGATAGGGTTCTGTGGTACAGTGGTAGTGTCTCTACCCCTGGACTAGAAGCCCAGGTTCAAATCCCACCTGCTTCAAAGGTGTGTACAAACATCTCTTAGCAGTTTGATTCATAAATATCTATAAACACTGAGAACATCAAATGCTTGTAGCTTAATTTTGAAGTGAAGGAATCACCATACACAGTCATTTGAATATCTCATTGTATATGCCACTTTAACTAGGTACATTGAGAAGAATGAATGTTGAAGAAAGCCGATGTGACAGCAGTTTGTCACTGATATATCACTGAATAGTCACTGAGAGTGTCACTGAGAAGAACAACAGTGTCTGAATGTACAATCAGTTTGCTACTTAAGGACAGGGTATGTATATTTTATGTTTACAATCAAATGAATGCCTTAAAACTAAGGCTTACTAATAATACACTGAACGTAGACTTTGAACTTAAACTCACTTAATCCCTACAATAACAGGAATATAAAATGATGATCTATCATGAAGTTTACAATTAGACTAAACTTATAACAGACTAAAATCTGTAATCATTATTAAGACTCACTTTATCTCTACTGTAATCAATAATTGTTAAGCCTAAGATGGTAGTGGCCATATCCTGCAATTGTGGGTAAATGAAGTAATGGCAGTAATACAGGTTTGTGTCTGCTTCCTGTTTGAAATTCTCATCTTTGTTTTCAAATCTCTCATCAGCCTCAATTCTCCCAATCTCTGCAGCTGCCTATAACTCAACAACCCTTTCAGATTTCCATGCTCCTTCAATTCTGGCCACTTGTACGTCTCCAATTTTCTTCACTAAACAATTGGTAGTTGAGAGATAGTAGGGACTGCAGATGCTGGAGAATCTGAGATAACAAGAAGGGTCTAGGCCCGAAACGTCAGCTTTCCTGCTCCTCTGATGCTGCTTGGCCTGCTGTGTTCATCCAGCTCTACACCTTGTTATCTCTAATTGGTAGTTGAGCTTTGCTCCTAAACTCTGGAATTCTTTCAGAAATCCTCATCCGCTCTCTCTTTCTCTAAGCTGCTGCTTTCAACTTATCTCTTTGACCAAACATACATTCATCTGTCCTAATATCACCTTCTGTGTCTTGGTATCAAATCTGACATTATTGCCTCCCCCAACAATCTTTATTATCAGAAAGATTCTGTATAAATGGCACATGTGTTATTGTTGATGTCTTATGGGAATTGCACTTCATTCAATATTGAGTTTTAATTTTAATTCTAACTTAATGATTGAAGTTTTAATTCTGATGTTGATTGGTTTGGTTGAATTCATAATTAATGCCTTTAAAATGAAATGAGTCAATTTAAGCATACATTTGCTGTACAAAATGTTGAACAGGGAACAATTTAAAGCTTGAATGTGAACATAAAGAGGGAAGAGCTATCATTTATGAATCTTCTATTCATGGGCCAATCACTGGAATTTATCAAAATTAGTTTGAGTTTTGAGAAAAGGTAGGGGCATGAGATTAACCAGACACAATGGTTTAAATGGCCTTCTTCCATGCTATATGATTCAATGCTAATACAATAATTGGATATGTTAGAACATTGTCAATGAGTTATTATTTGGCTAATGTACAGAATATCTCAACAAACAATTGCATACTTGAATTTTCTCTATTGTATCCACATTATATTACTATCACAGCTTTGAACTTTCTTACCATCTTTAAAATACTGAAATGTTGCTGAGTTAATGTGAGGAATGACATTGCTTACTCAATGTGCTGCCTCTCATGGAGCTATGATTCCATAAGAATTTGCAACCCAAAAAGGGGATGTGAGGATATGTGAGTACACTCTTCATAAGTGAATTTGAAAAGGTATCATCAGTGCATTATCCAAACACTGACAGCATCATAACTAAACCCAATATTAATGGAAATCTATGTAACAAAAAGCTTTGAGCAATGGGATTTGATCCGGGCGACGATTTTATTAGGATTTGACCATGTATTCATTCTATGGATCAAAAAGGTTACATTGTCTGCACAAAGCTTATGTGATAGTCTCTGTCTGAGACTTCCAGCAAAGTGCACAGTGATAGCAGCACATTGCTGTTGAAAACTGCTTCATAAAATGCAGTGAGAATGCAAGGAAAGGCGTAGCCATTCAGACCTGTGAGCCTGTTCCAACATTCTGTTAAATCATGATTGACTTGTACCTCAATACCATTTATCCATGTTAGACCCTGGTACCCTTATCTAATACAACCCTGTCTATCTCAGCTCTGAAAGCTCCAATATCCTCACATCACAGCCTTTTTAGAGAAAATAATCACTACATTATGGAATAAAATATGGCTTCTGATTTCATTCTTGATGGTTGTCCCCTTCTTCTTGTTTCCCTGTCAAAGGATGATGCAGATGATGTAAAAATCCTACCCTATGCTGAAGAATGTGCAGGGAAGGTATCCCTGGTGTCTTGGCCAAGAATTGTCCAATATTGATTGGCATCACAAATTATCACATTGCTGTTTGTAGGAGTTTGTTGTGCACAAATTAACTGGTACATTTCCTACATTATAACAATAGTTACACTTCACAAGTACTTCAGTGGCTGTAGAATGCTTTGCAACATTTTGTGCTCATGAAAAGTGCTATTTGGATGCAAATTTTCCTCTTTACCTCATCAAATCACTTTATGATTTGAACATGCCAATTAAATTATTCCATAATGTTCTAAATTTTAAGGAATACAAACACCACTCATACAATCTACATAATTTAATCCTCCAGACTCTCAGATTTTTTTGGTGAATCTCCCTCCAAATTCAATATATCCTCCTTCAGGCACAGTGCCTAAACTGGGAGAAATGCTCCAAATGGGGCCTGACCAAAACTCTATACAAATGAAGAATAATTTCTGGTCTTTTATATTCCCAGACTTAGTCTTGTTCACTTTGAATATGCACTTTCTCCATTCTGTTTTACCTGATTCTAGGATATTTGAGCAATCGTACTGTTCTGGTTTGAACTATAATGGGACATGTTATTATAGGGATAAAACACAGAAGAATAGGTCAGAGGGTTCACAATGTTGAAAAAACTGAACAAGGCAAACAAAACAATTGTGGAGTAAAGAGGAAGTAAAATGATTCAGAAATAAATCCTGCACCAGTGCCGTTAATGAAGGGTTATGTATGCCACTTCTCTTCACAGATGTTGTGGCTGAATCGCTCATTGATTCCAACTATTCCTATTTTTATTACTGAAACTGCAGTGACACACTCATCTGACATTTTCCAATTCAACCGAATATCTCCATTACATTAGTGTACACATGTTTATACCTGAGCTACTGTTGGAACCAGAGTATCACCTTGAGCTGTCACACAGGCTCTTTGTCTCACAGATACAATTTCAGTGGCCCCAGGGCTCTTGGGCTACATTACCAGATTCAATGCCTACTGCTGCACTTTGCCATGCACTAGATTCAGAGACTCAGATCAGTTTCTGTTGTTTTACTGAAGCTTGTCCTAAGTTGTTGACAATGCTGCAGTATGTTACAAGGACACTGAAGAGTTACCAAAGAGACAATGGGTAATGAACAAGTTGAAAGTTAATTAAAAGTCCTTCCAAAGGGAGTGTAATAGTGAATAATACAAGCTAATCAGATAGAGTTATTTGTCATTAATCATAGTGTAAAGATTCTATATTTGCTATTGGCCAGAAACTTAGTAAAAATGGACAAGTGTCCCACTTCCAATTGCAATCCAGTGGGCCTCTGTTAGAATGTGTTCATAATAGGGGGTCAGATCAGGTTCAAACACAATGTGATGACTTTTACAGTTGAATAAACTGTCAACACTTACAATTCAAGCATGAACACAGGAAACAACCACTTGGGTGAATATCAGTGAATGCCTTCAGCATGTCGAACTCAACTCCAACATGAAAGGTAGGAGAGAGCTGACGGCTTCAGTTAGTTAATTATTTTGCAATCATTCCTTCCCATCTCTGGAATGAATATTAATGTCTGCAAATTGCAATTAGCTACAAACCCACAGAACCACCTCAGCAGCCTCTTCCAGCATCTACTTATTCATATAAAGAAAAACTTTCATTTGCATTGTTGTAATGTAGACAATGCAACAGCTAATGTATGCCCGGCAAGTTCCTACAGACAGCAACATGCTAAATCCAGAATAAATTGTTTTTATGATGTTGGCTGAGAAACATCTCACTGGAGTGTCAATGTTGATTCTTGTGCTAAGGACCTGGAGTGGGACTCATCCTATTACCTTTTGACTCAGAGACAGGACAGCAAACAAGGTTACAGCTAAACTTAAAAACATGCTTGTCAAGCTCTATATTATCTTTGTGAAAATAAAACATGTTGTAAATGTTTCATTCATAAAATATATTTAACAAGGACATCCAGCAGTCATAATGGTTACAACTTGATTACTTCTGAATCATTTACCAGTGTATGTGTATAGTAGATGTATATCGATGCCTACGTCTACATGTCTGCACATCAGCCAATCTGTATCTTAAGTGTTTGAGATTGATCTGGCAGTGGGAGACAGTGTGTGACATTTGGCGTGGGAGACAGACTGGATGGATACCTGCTTGTATTTATGATCTGGCCTGTTGGCAGTCTGTGAGTGCAGAGCAAGTCTGTGGATGTGTCAGTGCAAATGTGAGACAGTGAAGGTTTCTGTGAATGGGGCACTCAGCCTGTGTGAGTTTATTTTGTGTGGAAAGTTGACAGCTCGGACAGACTGAGGTACACTGTCACCACTGAGATGGGACAGAATTGATCCCTGTGCCGTGAGCTCTATGACTTGCGGAGGTGGAAGGGGTTCAAACTGCCTCCCTCTCTTACCTGGGAAGAAGTTCCTATAAACGGCGAAGTATCCCACTAGGGCCAGGTAAGCGGCAGCCAGCACAGCGAAGAAAAGGCCGGCCAGCAGCTTCCATCGCCGGCGGATGGACAGTCCATTCCTCCCATCTTTGTAGAGAAACTCTTGGTCCGGTACCAGCTCCAGCATCGCGGCTCCAGGCTCGCTCTGCTCCTGCTCCGCTTCCCGTCAGAGTTTTCCAAAAGACCAGGGCGGAGCTCAACCTGCTCCCTCCCCTCAGACCCGCCCAAATTCCTGCTTCCCAGGCAAAACCAACCTAACCATTACAAAATCAAACCCCTCACATACACGCATCCGAGTAAAACACAACTCTAGAACTAAAGGGAACCGCACAGTGCTTCAAAAGTACAGACTTAAAGCGAACTAAGTTTAGTAAGTATTTGGTGTTTAAATATGAGATGAAAGACAACCAACACCACCACCCTTTCCGGCGCCCCGAACAAAAGCAGACAGGCATTGTCATTGGTTGCACTTTCCCGCTCGGTATCCAAAGGTCAAGATTTTGCTGAGAGAGCAGTCAGTATCAGACTCTGAATGATCAAGAAACCAGCCTGCCCTGAAAGAGTTCACTCGGCCCTTCGCGCCTGTTGCTAACTCTTCAAAATACATCTCCAGTTCACCCGAATGTCCTGTTCTTTCCCGCAGCCCTGTACTTCTCGAGTTATGTATCCACCTCTCTTTTGAAGGGTAATATAGGATCTGCTACCAAGAGGCAGCCTAACAACACACTGTGGAAGAAATGTGTTTTCATTTCTCCCCTGGTTCCTTATTGCCAGGGAGCAGGAGGATCAGTAGGTCTTAACCCTCCGTTAAGATCGTAGCTGAGCTTCTACCTCCAGTCCGTTTTCCAGCCCTATTCCATTATTTCCTTAAAATGTACAAAAATCTAATCTTCTCAATTCTGAAAATGGTCAGTACCTGAACAGAAACCTGTGTCCTTTGGTTATGAAGCCTCTCGCCAGTAGTTACAATTTCCCCTTATTTATCAAAACCTTTCATCATTTTGAACACCTCTGTAAAATTATCTTTTAGTCTTCTCTCCTCGAAACAAAATAAATCTCAAATTCTCCAACCTCTCCTCTTGCTCACCAGCTCTGCTACCATTCTAGTAAATCTCTACAACCTGTCTAAGGCCTTGCCATTGTTACTAAAGTCTTGAGCCCAGAAGTGAAGACGATACTCCAGCTGGGGCCTACCTGACAATTTATACGCAGATTCAGCATCACATCCTTGCTCTTCTGTCTTATGCTCCTATAACGACCAGGTTCCCATATACTTTTTTTTAACAAACTCATCAACTTGTCCCATCACATTCAAAGATTTGTGGACGTCTTGCTTCCCGCACCTTATTTTGTAAATTTTATTCATGGGATGTGGGTGTTGCTGGCTGATCCAGCATTTATTCCCATCCCTAATTTCCCTTGCGAAGATAGTGATGATAGCAACAAATGCCAGAAAGCACAGAGGGTCAGGCAGTATCCATGGAGAGAGAGCAAGCTAACGTTTCGAGTCTAGAGGACTCTTCATCTTGAAATGTTAGCTTGCTCTCTCTGCATGGATGCTGCCTGACCTGCTGTCATCTCCAGTATTTGTTGTTCTCAGTACAGATTCCAGCATCTGCAGTAATTTGCTCCTACAAGATAGTGGTGAGCTGCCTTCTTGAACTGTTGCAAACTATGTGATGCAGGTACACCACCATGCTGCTAGGGAGGAAGTTCCACAGTTTTCAGCCATTGACATTGAAGGAACAGCAATAAATTTCCAAGTCAGGTTGGTGTTTAGGAAGTAAATTTGCAAGCAGTGACGTTCCCCTGTATCTGCTGCCCTTCTCCTTCTAGTTGATATTGGTCGCAAGTTTGGAAGGTGCAGTCGAAGGAACCTTCGTGAGTTACTGTGTATCACATGGGTGGCACATGTTGTTGTCACTGTGTGTCAGTGAAGAAGGGTGTGAATGTTAAAGGTGGTAGATGGGATGTCAAGCAAGTAAACTTCTTTGTCTTGGATAATGTCAAATTTCCTGAGTGTTTGAGCTCCATGCATCAAGACAAGTGGGGAATATTGCAACAAACTCCTGACTTGTGTGTTGTAGGTGGTGGACAGGTTTTGGAGTCAGGAGGAGAATTATTCGCTGCAGGGTTCCGAGCCTCTGATCTGCTCTTGTAGCCACACTGGTCCCGCAAGGAACATGAGTTACTGTATACTTCTGAGTGCCAGTAATAGCATGGAGTTATGGATGGTGATCTTTGAGGTTCCATTTTAGTTCTGTCACATGACTAACTTGGAATCACTTCTGCACTTAGTGCCTGCCTGGTGTGTGTTGGAAGGATTCAACTACTTGGCCACATCTTCCTTGGCCATCAAGACCTGAAGGAGATTTAAACCTGGAGCTACTGGCTCAGTGGCAGAGTGCTAACCACTGCTCCATATGACCTCCTTTCAAAATGCATCACTTCACACTTCTCTATAAGTTATTATATCACTCTAACAGCTCAGAATGTCTCAAAGCCAATCAAGACCTTTTAAAGATATCCATTGTCATAATATGGGGAAACAGCTGTCACTTTATACTTAGCAAGGCTCCCCCAAGCAACAAATTTGGATAAATGACCAGATCGTTTGATTTTGGTGGTGGTTGAAGGTTTAAGTATTGCTGCAGCATGCCACAGGCCACTGTAGTATTGTGGCATTAAAACATAAAGCCCAGGAAGAGGCAACAAATTTTACAAGGCACCAGTGAGCCACACATAGAATAATATGCACATTTCTGGTCTGGTACTACATTAATATTACCCAGTGCAGAACAGGTTACCCTATAAAAATGAGTTTACTCAGAATAAGACTGTGACGACCATGGATTATAATCTTGGATCTTGTATGGACATATTGAAGGTTTAATTCACAAAGATTATTTCTAGTTGACAGTCTGTGGCTAACCGAGGGAAAGTAAGTGAATTAAAAAGGGGAGCCCGTTGATCTCCCCTCACTTGACAATTTACGGTATTTCACCTACGGCTGTAAAAAATTAGGGAACCTTGCCTGGGGACTGATCCTAACAAATTAAGGCTCACCCCAGATTTAAAGTAACAGGTGAATTATAGAATTAGAGTTGGTAAATTGCTCTTTGAAACTCATCTTTTTAAAAAAAAGACTACAAAATAACTTTCTTGAGTGTAAACTGTAATAGAATAGAAGTGTCTACATTCAATGCTGGCGATTTTCTTGGAGAATTAGAGCAAATTACTTCTGAGGATTTAAAAATTCTCAGGGCATTAGGATTAGAATTTTTTTCCAAAAGCCAGAAAATTGAAACTTTTAAAAGGTCTGTGCAATGGTTTAGTGTGCTCAATGGACCAAAAGGCTTACTGCTACTCCCATTGTCTACATTTCTACGACATCTCTAACTCAGGCTTAAGGGTGGAGGCAACTTGCTTTAACATTTAATTCTAATTTCGAGGAAGACGCTTTCTTGATCTCTTTTAAGCAGGTTGCGCAGCCGTTAAAGTGGCCAGTCCAATATCGGTCCTTACTACTGCAGCTTTTGGGGAAAGCTCATGAGGTTTACTCCCTGTTGGCTGACAGAAGGGCCACTGATTATGAGGCAGTTAAAAAAAAAGGCTATCTTAAGGTGCTGGAGATGTGTCAGCCAAGCTCCTGTACCCTGAGGAAATGGCCTGACCAGACAGATCTGGAATTTGAAAGGTTTAAGCATCTTATTTTTGACCAGTGGGTATGGACACTTAAAGCAGAAGCCACTTATGAAAACATCCATGAATTAATTCTACTTCATGGGTTTAAAACATCCAACCCTTCCCCATAAGAAAACACTTAGAGCAACAGAGAATGACTGCATCCAGCAGGACGTCTCAACGGCTGATGATTTTGAGCTGATCAACGAACCTCTGTTCCAGAAGAAACTTCCCTTGGTTTCCCTAATTGAAAAGGATAAAGTTGGGAGAGATTGTTTTATTCATTCATGTGACATAGGTGGTACTGGCTGGGCCAGCATTTATTGTCTGTCTCTAGTTACCCTTGAGAAGGTGGTGAGTGAGCTGCCTTCTTAAACTGCTGTAGGTTGATCCACAATGCCCTTGAGAAGGGAATTCCAGGATTTTGATTCAATGAGAGTGAAGGAAGTGCAATATATTTCCAAGTCAGGATGGTGAGTGGTTTGGAGGGGAGCTTGCAGTTGACGGTGTTTCCACGTATCTGCTGCCCTCGTCCTTCAAGATAGAAGTGGTCGTGGGTTTGGAAGGTGATAGGAAACTGAGCACCAATGGGAGAGAAGGAAATGCTGGGAGCCCTCCTGAGGACAGAAAGGCTGGTGCTCAGATGAAAGGTAAGGCCAAATTGCCTGCGTATTTTACTGCTGAAGGGTCTTATCTGGGCTAACAGAAAAGTCAATGGGATTTATAGGGTCACATACACCCTGTGCAGAGAATGGGATTCAGTTAAAGAGCATAACAGACCAGGCTACATCTCTGCCTGCAGCTGTGAATCCCAGTAAAGGCACTCCTGAGGATGTGGATATCATTGTACAATTCTTGAGAGTTACCAGGATTTTATATCTGAAGGAAGGTTGGCCATATTTCTCCAGGGTGAGGGGAGCAAGCCTGTAGTGATATGGAAAGAGACCGAGGCCAGCCATATTCTACTTCCCACCAGACAGGGCAGTAAGTAGAGAAGGAGAGTACATGCCCATTCCCCTTTACCAGGTGTACCTGCAGTGCAATACTGCATCGGAACCAGTGACTGTGGTGAGTTATCCACATTTTCCCTGTGATTCTGCTCCTCAGAAATAACCAGAAGGTATCAAAGGTGAAAACATCCCCAGTGGTCTCTGACAGCTTGTTGAGGTCAGGGAGAAAGGCCTGGCCTTTCACTGACTCTGTGGTCTATGGTCAGACAATCTCAGGCAGTGAAAACTGAGGTGGTACAACAAAGACACCCGCTAAGGAGGAGGTTCCAAAGAAAGTTTCCTCAGTAGCAACCCAGTAAGCTGACCCACTGTTAAATCCATGAGCTCAGACTGCTCTTGCTCTCTCTCTCTGGAGCTGAGGCAGAAGCTGGCCCTGAATGTGACGAGAATAAAAATGGGGAAATGGAGATTCTCCCTCACAGATCTGCACATGAGGAATGGACAGTGAACCACAACACA